ATAAAAATTTTATTTTATATATAATATAAAAACATATAGATATTGAATACCTATTCTATATGATTTTACTCATTAATAAAATATATTATCCAATATATTCAATTCAAAAATTTATTATATATATAGCATTTTTGTTATAACCTATTTAATATTTGTATTTTTCAAAATATAAAAAAGGAACTTTAAAAATAGTTACTATAAAATTTGTTTATTTTGTTATAATTTATTATAAATTTTAATATTAATATATTTTAATAAAAAAATTACTATAAATAATTTTATAGTAATTATATACAATAACAATTTCTAAAGTATTCATTTAATATCCATATATTTAAATATATCATTATTATTATATAATTTCATACATCTTAATAAACAATTTAGTGAATAAATTATAATTAAAGCAAAATTACCTTGTTTCTTTTGACGATATTTTCCGACATTTAATTGATTTTTCACATTTTGAATTTTATTACCATGACCATCAGATTGTTTTGTAGATTTAAATCTTATATACTTTTTTTCAGTGTAATTTTGCCAGTTTTCATCGGTATTCATTATTTCTTTTCATTCCTTGTCTGGTTACTGCATAACCTCAAATCTATTATTTCAAGTCCGTTTTTAGCTTAAATTTCTTGTCTTCTATTTAAATAATTTTAATTTTATTTAAGTTATTTTTTATTATTAAGAACTGACTGATTTATTTCGTAAATAATGCACTTGTAATATTCTTCATAAAATATTATAAAGATTAAAACTATACAATACTTACGAATACGAACGTCTGAACTCTCTGACACTCTAAGGCCGTATAACGTACAAATAATATACGAATAATTCTCTCGGCTTTCGTGATCGTTTACGTCTAATTTTTTTATAACTTTGACCCTCACACTTGTGTTTATTTAACTAACTCCTATAGCTTCTCGTTTATATTATACATACTTAATTTGTATTATTTCTCAATATATTCATCATATAGTCAAAATATCGTTGTATTTTGATTTATTATAACTAATAATATAATTTAAAATGATTCAAATTGATTCGAATAAATATTATATGTCATGAAATAAATTTGAATTGCTTCGAACCTTATTCGCAAGTTTAAAAATTCCAAAACTCGAAAATCTTAGAAATCTCAATCATCATTGAAAGTTTTGATCTAAAATTCATTGAAATCTAAAATTTATTGAAAATTATGATAGTTTTGAAAGTACTAGAATTAAAATTGGAAATCTTAATTATCTTGAAGGTCTTGAAAGTCTTCAAAGATTTGAAACTTTTACTATCTTATTCGCCTACATACTTCTCGCTCTTACCAATGTTATCTGATTCCGGTTTTTTGCCGGCATTTTATTATGCCGTACATTCCGTAGATATATTACAACAGTGAAAAATAAATAATAATTTTCAAGAATTTCGAATCTTGCAAGACTTTCGAAAATTAAAGAAAATTAATATTATCAAGGCTTTTAAGATGATTAATCAAGATTTTCATGATAATTGAAACTTGTAAAACTTTTAAGAATTTTCTTTGTATCAAATTTGAATTTTCCGCCATTTTAAAGATTCAAATCGACTTGAAGTTTTCAAAATTACATAAGTAACTATATAACATAAAAAACATAAGATTTGTAATAATAATTGCAATAAATTAATTATTCAACTGAATAAGTCTAATCCACATACATATAGATTGGTTAACAAAAAAATATCTTTAACAAAAATTGTTAGATAGATAAATACATATCTATCTTACTTATCTATCTTTCTAATCAAAAACATATTATCCATTGATTAATATTATATTATATTATATTAGTAAATATTAGTAAATAATATTTGAATTTTCATCATTTATATGCAATAATTTTATGTATATTCGAAATTTATATTATTAAAACAATATATATTTCATATGTAGAAATATTAATTAGTAAAAAATATTCGGATTTTTATTTTTTCATTTTCAGTAATATATTTCATAATATATATCTTAGTGGAATTAAAATGATAAAATAATAATATTTATTTTAATCTAAATTTTAATAAAATACATGTATGTAATTTTATTTAGAAAATGAAGATGACTTTCACAAATTCTTTACGCATCAATCTTCAAAAATATTAAAAAAACCAAATGAATTTTAAAACCATTAAATTTGAATTAATTAAAAAATTTATTAAGTAATAAAAACAAATAAGATAAATAATTATTTTATATTTGTATTTGTACATATTATTATTCATTTTGTATTTGTACGTGTTATTAATAATATTTTATTGGCTTTGCTAAAATCAGTTTTTTAATCAATTTCGAAATTTAACTATTTATTCAGATTCTTTGAAATATTATTTTTATATATTTATAGCACAATTTTCTTATCATATATTTTATAAAAAATACATATATTTATATATATAGTATTATAATATATTATATAATAGAGTATTCTATTATTCCGTTTAATTTATCTAAAAAAATATATAATTATAATTCTTCATAAAAAATCAATAATTAAAGAGTCAAAAAATCGAATTTATAAATTTAAGTTTATGAAAACTAATTTTTAAATAAAATTGTATTCTTTATTTTTTATATTTATTTTCATATACAGGACTTTCTATCATTCTAGTTTTATCAATAGTTCATTATCTAATCGATAAATGACTAATTCTATTTCATTATCTAATCGATAAATGACTAATTTCATTTATTATTATTATATAAAATTTTTCCAAACTAAAATTTCAAATAAAAAAATTGTATTTTTTCTTTTCGATTTATTTTTTCACAAAGAAAATTCCTTATTCAATTATATCACAAATAATGAGATGTTTTGTATATATTCTATTGTTTTGATAATATAAATTTTAAAAAGTATATATATATATATATATTACTTATTATTTTTATACATTTTTTTGTAAAAAATATGAATTAAATTAATTTTCTTTAAAAAAAAAATGAAGAGGAATTCAAATATTTTATTAACAATTATTATTATTTATTAACAATTGTGTACAAATTATTTGAGATTATATAATTCAAATTTAAATAGATATTAATAGTCCTGAACAAAACTTGTATAAACCTTGAGATATATAAAAACGCTTTCTAACCGAATTATTAAATTTGTAAACATTTCTTACTACATTTCCACTATACAAGATGTTAATGTATTCGAGAGAAGATATTTTTGAAGGTTTTAAAAACTAAATTTTAGAGGACAGATACAAAAATAAATATGTGAAAATATCAGTTTCGTTTTATTGATTAAATTATAAGCAATTTAAAAATGTATTAAATGAAGCGAAACAAAAAAATAGATAGATAGAATGAAATAAATAGATAGAATGAAACAGCTTATCTCTGTTATACTATCATGTCACTATGTTTCGCTTTATCTAAAATTTATAACTTAAATTGCTTATAACTTAAATAAATATTAATTGATATTTTTTTAGAATTTGTACAACTTTTTGTTATGGCTTTTAGAATTGATTTTTTATTAAGAAATATCTTCTATATGTTTTCTATTTCAATTTCAAAATTAACAAATTATGAAATATTATTTAAGAAATATAAAATTATAGATTAATTTATTTATTTATTAATATTAATATTAAAATTCAAAAGAATTCGATGAAATAATATAAATATAGATTCTAGAAATTCTTAAAAATTGTTGATTTTTTAATAAATAGTTTATTGCATAGTTTAATATAAACAAAGATCTAGTCTTAGATCAATGTTCTATTTTTTACAATATGTTTATGAGTTTTTGAATAGATTATAAATTATGTTAAAATTCTTAAGATATGAGAAATTTTTAAAAAATAATATATTTTTTTTTAATGTTACAAATATTTTCCTCTTGATTTTTACATTAAATTTTTCAAGAATTAAATGATATATAAAAGGATTAATAAATATATTATTATTTATTATAATTAATAAATATAATGCAATATATTTATTATATATGTAATAATGCTTTCAACAATTTAAAAATTTATCTTTAAATAAAAGGAGAAAAAAGGACATATAATCTTATTTTATTATAAAAGTAATTGTTTTTTTATTCATATCTTAAATTAAAATTTCAATTTCTTAAAATTTTTATTCTTTTATTATGAAATACATACAGAATGTTCGAATAAAGAAGAAAATTTAAAATTCTAAGGACTAAGATGAACACAAAAGTTGTTATATAAAAATATTTCTTAAGCTTATTTTCAAGTTATAAGCAATATAATTTTGAATTGAAATAAAGCAAAATAAAAAGAGAAAGTGTGAAATAGAATGATATAACTTTATTTCTATCTTGCTTTAACGAATATTTTTATATACCAACTTATGATTATTTTAATCTCTAGAATTATTCTATAAATTTTTTCTCCATTGTATTCAATATATATTTTTTCCTAATTTTTATTAAATAAAATGTTTATTTTTAATGAAACAATTAAATTTTATTAACATTATTTTTCTTAAATTAAAAAAGTTTTAATTAAAAATTATTTTAATAAAATTTTGACATTTACAATATTTTTTATTTAAAAAAATATTTAATTAAATATTTTATTCAAATAAAATATTTAATTTTTGAATAATTAAAATAATACTAATTAATAATTATTATATTATATTATGAATATAGAGAATCTGTGAAATTATGTGTGGCAAACCTGGCTGACTCATGACGTCATTTAAGTTTTTGTGAAGCATATTATATGTTAGATGGTAATCCTGTCTCTATTATAATATTGTTTGTAAAAACTTTTTGGCGATATATATTCTTCTTCGCGTAATCTCTCGCATTCCATGCAACATTATAAGCGTGACTATAAATAATGAAATTTATATATTAAATAATGGAATAAAATACAAAATTAAAATATAAATATAAAAGTTAAAATATAAAATATAAAATATAAAAGTTATTATAATATTGATTACGTTTATTTTAATTATATTCAAAAGGTAAATTACATATATATACTTTATTATATAATAATTGATATTTTCGAAATATCATTAAAAATTATATTTATGAATATTATGTATTAATTTCAGTATTTCTTATGTATATATATTCGATTTTCATTACTGGTAAGTATTGGTAAGTAATTATTATTTGTAATTATATTATATTATCTTATTTTTTATTTTTCTTATTCTATTATTTTTATTATTTCCTACATTTTCTTAAAAATCTTTTTTATTATTTTTTACCAAATATATATTATTACAACAAATACATAATTTACACTATATTATAATATATATA